GCAGGCCGCAGTGCCCACGCAGGGAGGGAGGCAGTGCAGCCACCGCAGCCGACGCATCCATGTGGCACGGAGCACTCGACAATGCCGCCACCACCGGCGTTTGCCTTTCTTGGGGACTGCGCACAAGGGCGGGGACACCAGCTTTCTCAACGGCGCCCTTTTCAAATCCCAGACTCCAATCCCGCCAGGAGGAGGATCGGCTGGAGAGAACACTTAGGAAAACCACAGTGTAGTCTTCAGCATGTCAACAAACTGAAACCTTACGTGACTCCTTGGCTTATGAGCCTTTATTTCCGGGCAATCTTTTGACATATCAGGTCAAGTCAAACTCATAAATATGTTGAGCTCCTCCCAGTGCCGGTTCACAGGAGTGATCCGAGTGAGCGAGGCGCTGGCAGCAGTGTCAGCGCCCCGGTACCTTGGAACTGATTAGGAACTGCCAGTGTAGCACGAGGCCCCTCACCCAAAAGCCCCTCCTACGACCTGTGTTGGCAAACTGGAGAGGAAACCTCCAGGAACTGCATTTACGTCCTTGCCGCTCTGTGAGGACAAAAAGTACCTGCTTCTAGTATCTTCCCCTCTGAGGTCTCCCCAGCTTCTCCCCAGGACACCAACACTGCCATCAGCATTTATGGAAACCAGGCAAGTACAAAAGGATGAGAAAGGTTGCCTAGTACAGGCAATATCCCATTTGGGCTTGCCTTTGTCCAAAATTCCATGTTCTTTCGCCATCTCCCCAACTCACTGCCCCGAATACTGCCACAGGCCCAGAAGTGCACAGGGAGTGAATGTGGGAAGCTATCATTCTATTCAGAAGAGGTTCAGCGGAACTCTACAAAGCAAGCGTCACACCTTAACTGGATTTGCCCTCTCTAACATTTAGCCTTGCTTTGAGAAACAGTGACGGATTGGGCTCTAACTCTGCCACTTAATAGTCAGGCACAGCTAAGGAAGAAAAACAAGAAACCACCCACTAAAGTGACGGCTGGCATGAGTCCCTTTAAGTCAATTTTAACTGTTACGCCTTGACCGTCTATAAGACCGATCATGAAGTTATATACAGTCCCTCAGACATGATCTCAACTTCAATTTCTATTAAGTAACTGTGACAAACCAGAAGGACCCAGCCTCCTGGCCTGTTCTGCCTCATCAATGACATGACAGTGTGGCACACAGAACCTAGAAGGAGGATGAACGGTGCTCAAGTCTTTTCTGGACCAGGAACCCTTTTGGGGTGTCAGAGGAGTGAAGCCCTCTTTGAAATCATTCAGAGGAGCACAGACCACAACACTCCCCATACACCTGCAGGGCCTGCCATGAACTCAGGTCCACACAACCCTCTGCTCTGGAACCTCTCTCCTTTTCAGGCTTTCACAGTCAAGAAGCACCGAGCTGCAACATGAAAAGCAGTCGCCGCAGAACAGTAGCAAGCACACACAACACTTGACAGTGTTCAACCCTTTTTTGTGAAACGAACTCTGGTAGTGAAACACATTCTGGGATATTTTTTTTTTAAAGCCAAACAACTCTTAACGCCAATTCTCTAATTCCAAGCCTTTCAAGTAGGAGTATTTAAATAGTCCCTTCAGCTAAATGTTAATGTATATTATCTTTAATCTGATGGAACATCTAGTTTGTATTACTACTGAATGCTCCTGAAAAAAATGACTTTTCAACAGGTTTATTTGCTCAATAGCTGGCCTTTCTAGAGCCAGGCATTTACAAAAAGTTAACTATATGCATAAATAGATTAAATGTGTTCCCTTTATTTAAAAACATGCAAAAAACTCCAAAAAAGCCTGGAGAATCAGAAACAGCCAAATTTGAATTTAAAAATAACAGCTGTCTTACCTCCGCCCAATCAGGGACAGGATTTTGGCACAGCTTAATTGTCCAAATCCCATTTCAGAGAGACTGGGACTCCAGGACTGCAGCTGGGCTTGCAATTTTAGCTTCCCACGAAGGGGCATCATGGGAGGCAACGAGTCTCCTCCCACGTGGGAGAGGCAGGTTTAGTTACCAATTCCTGGCTCTGCCCTAGTCCAGCCCCTGCTGTCAGCGGAAATCCCTAAGGTGGGGAACTGGAGGATAGAGAATCATTCTCTGCCATTCAAAAACATAAAAAGTATATACAAGCAACTGTTTTTAAAATCCCAACAAACAAAAACCCTCTAAAACATAACCAGCTTTTTTTACCCTAATTAACTATGTAAAGATTGTCCCCCCCCAAAAAAAACATAACTAGCTTTATCATCCAACCATTTTAGCAGTAATAAATTTTGGTGCCGTTAATATTTTCATTTTATTAAGGGAGCCATTTGTTTTCCTTATCACAAAAACTTTATACACGAGCACATGGAGTTATTTGGCTATTACGAATAAACACGAACTACCTGCCAACCAGTTCTAGGCTGACAGACAAAAACCCACACACGCCCCACATTCTCGCTTGGATTTTTGTTCTTGATGTAGATGTTGAATATAAAAAGCAGGAAGAAAGAAACCCTAGAGCCTTGGTCATCTTGGTGCCCAAGGTTTGGAATTTGCTCCTCGGACGCCTTCAAGAGTCTCAGACAGGTACAATCTGCTGGTAGGTTTTCCTTTTCAAATCCAATCCAAACCACACACAACAGAATGAACGGACTTATTTCAATCCAGCTATCCTCTTCAAAGCTAGTCATTAAAGATGTGCAAATGCGCAAAGCAACGCTGCTCTATTTATGTAAACACAAATGAAGCACCTCTTATTTCGTTTTAGAATGAGTCTTTAAAAAAAACAGTTGATTATTTTACATCATCAGCACCCTAGAGGTCCCTGCAGGAATCACGCAGGCAACGCAGTCCACACACTTACTGCCTGAAAGGATCATTAGAATATGACAAAAAATCTGATAGGAGAAAAAGGATGCCTAGCAGGCAACAGAAGTCAACACTGTCTTTTTACACTGGTTTCCGTCACACACCCACGTTTTGACCGTGAAGTTCAATGCCTGTGAACTCTAACACATGCACTTCAAATAATCCTTGGCTGCCGAAACTCAAGATCTGTTGGGCCCAGTGTTGCGGCACAGTGGGTCAAGGTGCCACGTGTAATGTTGTTGCCTCCAATTCCAAACAAATTCCCTGCTAAGATGCTAGAGAAAGCAGAAGATGGCCCAAGTCCCTGGGCACCTGCCATCTATGTGGGAGACCCAGAGGTTCCTGGCTTGAGTTAGTTGAGCCACAGGCATCGTGGTCATTCAAGGAGCGAACCACAAAGAAGATGTCTTTCCTTCTAAATCTACCTTTCAAATACACATATACACCCAAGAACAACAACAACAAAAAATTCAAGAACTATGTTTTCTGTCAAGGGTATGCAGCTTGGGCCTGTCACAATAGCATAATGATTAAGGTCCTCGCCTTGAACGTGCTGGGATCCCATATGGGTGCTGGTTCTAATCCCGGCAGCTCCATTCCCCAACCAGCTCCCTGCTTGTGGCCTGGGAAAGCAAGCAGTTGAGGATGGCTCAAAGCCTTGGGACCCTGCACCCATGTGGGAGACCTGGAAAGAGGTTCCTGGCTCCTGGCTTCGGATTGGCGTGGCACCGGCCATTGTGGCCACTTGGAGAGTGAATCATTGGATGGAAGATTTTCCTCTCTATCTCTCTTCCTGTCTGTACATCTGCCTTTCCAATAAAATAAATTTTTTAAAAAAAAGGGTATGCAACTTATCTATCACTTTCTCTTTACTCCAACCTTAAACCCCAATGAACTGTTCACTCACACTGTTGAGCTGAATGAGAAATTAAACACGAAGACATTCCGACACAACTGGAGCTCAGGCCAGGCCTCCCCTCACTCACGCGCACAGGGTTTCCGAAGGGCTCGCACCAGGGTACTTCGTGCATAACGGACGCGAATGTGTTGGTGAACTTTGCTAAGCATCTTGTCCTTTAATATGCATGTTGGTCTCCAAAAAAGGCTTTCTGATGACAGAGACCTGTCCCGTATGCCCTTCCTGTAGGAGCGCTCCCGACTTTCCTGGTACTCAGGGTCAGACAGTGGTACTGGGAGTGGGGAGGGGCAAGGTGAATGAGAATATCCCAGATTGAGTCAATCAACCAAAAATACAGCCCGCAGCCTGGAGGAGGTGGCCTTCCCTGCACTTCTGCCACCTGCTTTCTGGTGCGGGGTTAGGTGTTCTTGCTTTTTCCCTAATTGGACACTCTGCTGAAGCAGTGAAGAAAGCAAAGAGGCTGAATCGCTCTAAGGAGATGGGTGTGGCAAAACAGAAAGGCCCCGTGCTTCCGTCAACGCCAGTTTACTTCTGTTTGTATTTAGTGTGTAAAATATTTCGACCCCTAGATAACACTCTTTTACCGGCCCCCCATCTCCCTCAGCGTTTTCCCAAAGAAGAGTTTCAGTACCAGAATTTAAAAGCCAAGTTACCCCTCCTCCCATGCACACCCTCACACCTGAAGGACACCAGAACCTGCCTCAAAGAGAGCTGCTGAGCAACAAGCATTCCACAAGGAAGAGCCTGCCACTGAAAAGAAAGAACAAAAAATCTAAATAAACGCATCAACCTGAAAGGATTTCCGCACCTTCGTCACTAACAAAACAGCATCTGTCTGATTTAAAAGTTCAGCATCTCCTTGTTTTGGCCATATTAAGTATGTTCTCACACACACACACACACACACACACACACACACACACAAAATGCTCACAATATGGTTGCTTATACAGACAGAAACAGGCAAAAGGGGAAAAAAAAACCCACATTGTTTCAGTTGAAAGGGGTCAACTGTTCCTGTTTGTGCCACAGGCATTGGGAAATGCGTTTTAACACACACACACACACACACACACACGTCTTCCTACAGCGCCCTGGCAGGAGACACGCCCTGCCCAGGAGACACAGCCTGGGGAAGCAGCGCTGGCAGGGAACTGTGTGTGTGTGTGTGTGTGTGCGCGTGTGAACATATTTAGTACGCGGCAAGCGTTCGAGTACTTACTGTGCCTGGCTCTCTGTCTGCTCCCGAGGTTACCAAGAAACGCACAGACATGCCCGTTCAGACACAGAAGCAAGAACAGAAATAAAAAAAAGGGGGGAATAATTAGAACACAAGCCCCAAACAGTTTTAAAAATGGCTTTTATTTATATAAGTCATTGCACATTCCTAATACAGTGATTTCCTGAAAATTACAGTATTTTGTAAACATAAGATTTACAGTTTAACCATACACAAAGCCTATTTTTTTTTATTTCTTGACAGAATAAATTACTTTTCTTCAAAAAATTAGTCAAGTGCAATTTTGCCCAATATTTAATGCATACTAGAATTAAAGCCTATGGGACTAAGTGGTAACAGATGCAATTATCAAACCTTTCATTTGAACACATTCACTTTCAAATTTAACTTCTTATTGTGCCCCATTGAACAACATTAGTTTCTTTGAAAATTACCCAATTAGGCAGTTAACAGTTTTCCATAATACGGTACAGGCCACTGGCATTAACTAGGCAGTTGCCAAGCTGTCAAGATGCCTGCACCTAACGAGAATGGGAAATCTACAGATGCCCTCGGCCAAGCCCGCAAGCTTGCTTTCCAGGGTGGGCCGTGTCTCCATGAGCAGCTCTCTGTGACACGTCCTCTTATCTCACTGCTCTCAGGATAGGATGGGGGGAAGGGGGCTTGGCTTTAGCGATGCGCTCAACTTTGCCGCACGGTATGGGTATCAGGACTAGGTCCTAATCTGGCTTGCCCGGCCTCTCACCTCTGTGGTGCTCTGCCTCGTGGTGCTTCTTGTCATCTTTGATTGCCAAGTGAGACTGCCCACTCAGAGCACTCGACAGCGCGAGGAGGCCGGCGCTGCCCCCGAGGGGCGGGATTCCAGGAGGCTGCAGTCCCGAAGGGTGAGGTGTTAGAGGCACTGGGGGCCCGTGGCCATGAGAAAGATGCTGAGCTTGCAACTGCTGCTGCTGTTGATGGCAGGGGGGTGGGGCAAGGGGGGAGGGAGGGAAGCGTGGCAGAGACAGCATCGGGGGACAGCAGATGTGAGCACAGCGGCACAAGGGCGGACACACACAGATGGGGGAGGGCAGAGACAGAGGGAGGAAAAGGGAAAAATGTGATTAATTCTTACAGTTCACCAAAAGTTTCACCTCCTCAAGCACCACCCTCACCTTCCCATACAGTAACATGTCACTTTCTAGCGTAACAAATCCCTGGCAGTGGCGCTATCGGTCTTTAAGCAAAGTCTATCAATCAGCACGCTGGACAGGGCTCCATGCAGGGATCAAAGCGAAGAGAACACCGACTCTGAGGTGGCGGAGTTGCAAAGACTCATCCTGACTTCAAGGAGGGGATGGGAAGAGGTGCGTGATTGACAACACAGTAACCATAATCTCCCCTAGACTCTGCGCCAGACCACATCCTGGCACTGACCGACTACAATAGTGGCATGAAGCAAACAAACCTAGTCCCTTGGTGTGTCTCGGAGGTATCACCCACGCACCTGTGTGTCCTGATTCCACGAAACCATCTCCGATCCCCGAGCATATACTGGTGTATTCCCATTTGCTGGAAGGGATGCATTGAGGAAACTGCCAACCTTCTCCCTTCAGCTACAGAGGACCAAGGAAAACGCTGGAAAGCACCTTCGATGGAGCTGCCTTTTGTCCCCCAGACAGCCCACAGAAGGGACAGTCTCAGGGAGCAGGCCTTAGAACCCTCCGAGCTGATGAAGAGTGGTATCGGTCCTTTCCTTGCTCCTAAACCCACACCTCAAAACCCGCCCCTTCCATGCCATGAATAAAACAAGGAAGTCCAGAGAGGGGCAGAACCTTGGCACTTGCTCCCCAGCTGCCTGGAATGTTCAACTGAGGGGGCCCCAAGTGCCTGTTCCTAAGGTCCTTTGCCATTACGCCCTGTGGCCTCCATTACTCGGCCAGTTCCACCACGCAACATCCTCGCCCTGAAATGTTACGTTCAAAGATGTTGCATGCAATGATGAAGTTATCAATCTCATCCTACGCCAGGTGTTCAACACCAACTTCACCTGCGATGTGATACTACAACAAGGCAATCTGAGCTTTCTTCCCTGGGACTCAATGACTCATTCTGTTTACTGCCCCTGGTGCCAAATCTTTAGTCAGATTTCCACCGAGATGACGGACTGATTTTTAACTGCGTCTCAGACACACTTCCCACCCCCCACCACCGCAGCAGTAAAGAGAAAACATTTCACAATCAAGTTTCAACCACTTTTAGCATCTTGAAAACAATCCTTGGGACTTCCTTTTTAAAACTTCCATCCGAGACAGTCACATTCTAATTAGAGAAGAGTGGGAAAGGGGGTGAGGGTGGAGTGGGTGGCATGAATCACATTCGTGCAAAGTATTTATAAACCACTCATTCACCACCTGAGACCACAGTAACAACTTCTTTATGCATAGAGAGCACCTTCCTGTCATCCCACAGACACTAATTCTTTCTCTGTCACCTTCTTTAAGAGCCGGGAGACAGTGAGACATTAAACTGAAGAAGCTGGCAGAGGCATCACGGTCCACTAGGCATGCTCATTAGCACTTAATTAGGAACTAGACACCTGCCATAAGAAATGTGAGCACAGAAGGATGAGGAGCACGAGCAATTACTATCATTACTCAGAGAGTAAGAGCTATGTCCGGCTTCTCGAGGGTGGGGTGCGGGTGGCGGGCGGAATGCAATGAGGCATACACAAGCAAGCGCAGCGGGGTAATTAAGCAGGGCACTGATTAAAAGATGAGGAGCCAGGCTGAGCAGAGGGGAAGGAGTTTAACTACAGGGTAGAAGATGCCACCTTGTAAACACCTCCCTGTATCCCCAACTTGTCCCCCAAATCAACATCACAGCCACCAGAGGACCTCTCAGAATTGGGACATCACACACACACACACACACACACACACACACACACACACACACACACACACACACACACACACACACACACACACACACACACACACACACACACACACACACACACACACACACACACACCCCGTATTTGGTACACAAGAAGGAAGAAGCAATTTCCCGCTAATATCCATCAACCGGAGCAGTCAGTGGTCCAACCGGCCACAGGGCACTCCCACTCCCATTGTGCTCCGGTTTTTCAAGTTCCTTGAAGAAATAGCTCACTGTGTGTTGCTAGAGATAACTGGCTTCCTCTATTCTGAACTTACCTCTCCCAAAAGTTTCTTATTATTATTTTTTTTAAAAAGCAGATCCTTTACCAACGGGATGAATTCTAAGAAGCCACTGGATGGGTGACAAGAACCAGAGACACTGTGGTCCCAGGGAAAGTGGACAGGGTCGGCCTGTCCACTTTGTTAGTACTCCTAGATGCTAACATCAGAGCGGCTTGGCTGGTGACATCCATACCACGCTGACCGCAGGGAGCCAGGGATCATGGCTCCACTTCACACGTGAGCCTGGCTCACAGCTAAGAGGCCTACCACAGGGCTCAGAGTCCGTCCTACAGCAGTCTTTTTCTCATCACCCCACTGGCCCAGCCATACTCCCAAGCACGAGGAAGGAACACTGTGTCCACTGAAGATGACGTTGCATGCCCTGCCTGGCTAGTGAGATGCTTCCCTTCACCATCAGGTGGTGTGACTGCAGTGAACACAGAGTGTGCCTCCCGACCACCATCCCTCTTGCTCTCTCTCTCTCTCTCCCCTCGGTGCCTGCCTGAAATCAAAGAAAGGCTCATCGTATTTGCTCCTGGTTGTCTCACAATAAAGTTATATAAAGGACCATCGAGCCTTAATCGGCTTGGCTCTGGCTCTGTCTAGAAGCAACTGCTTAGCATTAAAAAATGACAAGTGTCATACCTAAGATAAACCATTTACTTAAAAGAACACAGAGTCCCTGTTTAAAGAAATTACGAACTCCGAAAGGACAGCCCAGCCTTGCCCCTCCTGTCCTTGGAACCATTTTCTCTGAGCAAGGGTTGCTGCAGATAGCGTACCACCCATCACCCTTATCAAACGCATACTCATCAATCAATTTCAATGATGTGTTTCAGGAGTGAGAGCTCCTGGTGCAGTGTGTAAGGCTGCTGCCTGAGACACCCACACCTACAATCAGAGTGTCCCTTGCAGTCCTAACTGCTCCGCTTCCAATCCAGCTCCCTTCTAATCCACCCGCGAAGCAGCAAATGATGGTTCAAGCACTTGTATCCCAGCCTCCCATATAGGAGACCCAGATGGAGTTCCTGGCTCCTGGCGTTTATGTCACTCTGTCTTTCAAATTAATAAATGTTTAAAAGAAGAACATTGGGGTCGGTGCAATGGTGTACCAGGCTAATCCTCCATCCGGGTGCTGTTTTTTCCCCAGATGGCCACTGATTCTACTCCAGCCTGCTCCACTTCCAACCCAGCCCCCTGCTGGCGGCTGGGAGGGCAGCAGAAAGAGGACAAGGCCCCTCTACCTCCGTGGGAGATATGAAGGAAGCTCTCAACTCCCAGCTTTGGACAAGCCCAGCTCTGGCCTTTGCAGCTATTTAGGGAGCGAAACAGCAGGTAAAAGATCTCTCTGTGTGTCTGTCTCTAAGTAAATAAATCTTAGCGGGTGGCGGGGCGAGGGGTGGAGGGTAAGTTATTTAGAGACCAGAGTTTGGTATAGCAGCTTAAACTGCTTCTTAGGATGCCTGCAGCCCTTGGCTTAAGTTCTGGTCTCTGTTTATAAAACAACTCCCTGCTAATGTGCATCTTGGAAAGAAGTAGGTGATGACTCAAGTCCTTGGGTCCCTGCCACCCACACAGAGGACCAGAATAGAATTCCCAGCTTTCGCCTAACCGAGCTGTGCCTTCTATAGGTATCTGAGGAATAAACCAGGCAAATACAAGATCTCTTGAAAATGATTTTTTTTCTAATTTTTTAAAAAAAATTAGGACAAAGCACACCCAGCATTGCTATACAGTCAAAATTGCAACAGCTCTAGCAACTGGAATTTACATCTGTCCTCTATCAGCCAAAACCTACACTTACCAGTTAGGAAACTGCAAGGTCATTTTCAACATGACAGGAATGGTGGGAAAAGTCATTAATTTATGATGATTAGGGAACTCTCTCTAAAGGTGATACTTGCAGATTTATATATCATATACAAAGCATGAGAACAGTTTGCAAAACTCTTGGGAAAAGTGTCTGATGAGCGCTGGTGCTTCTTAGCAATGCAGCTGGTTGCACAGTCTAGATCAGTTGTTCTCAGACATGGCATGGCAGCCCTCCTGCTCCCTGTCCCAGGGACAGATGGCACCGCCCAGGGACAGGTGTGTTTCTCACCCATGGGAAGAAGGGAGAGTGGAGTGCTGGTGGCATCTAGTGAGTAGAGACCAGAGTGGCTGCCAAGCACCTTACAAGGAGTGTCAACCCCATCTCCCACCCCAGAGAACCAACCATTGAGCTCTAAATGTTCAGCAGTGCTAAGGTGGAGCAACTTATCTGGAGCTAGGCTGGAATCTCATTTCACCCCTTTCCAATTTACATTCTTAAAAGCCAAGTGCCTTGCCAACCTGTCGTTCACCATGCTGAAAATCACCACCTGCTTTCTGAAGCTGGTAGGGGGCTGGGAGTGAGTCGTATTTTACCAGCTGAGAAAGGGCTTGCACTGGTAACTTGTCCATACTGGAGTTCTCCTGCCTCACTGGAAACTATTGCCGAGAAAGTGAAAAATGTGCTTGCTATCATGAAGACAATGAGAACAGCCCGAGAGTGCGACAAGCAAAAACAAACACCAAATCCTGAGTTAATGGTTCTGAAAATCCACAAGGAATAAAGTAACCTCATCCGTGTCACACAACAGCCATGCATTCAGAATTCTAATTCATTTTAGTTAGTACAGCATGGGTCAACTATGTTACTGAACTATAATGAAACAGATTTTGCCTTTTGTAGTCAAGGTCTTAATGTAATGGCATAGTGGTTT